GTTACAAACTCAATTAAATTAAAATGAGGCTTCTATTTAAAGAAAGTTGCTCCCCCCCAAAAAAAACCCTGTTTATAAAGCAAAGAACCACTCAGTATCATAAATAATCATTCCTTATTATACCTTTCTTAAAGAAAAAAGAAAAATGCTAAAGGGTGAAGAAACAGCTAGCTGTAATCTGTCAAGAAGTTACTTTCAAACCACCCACACTCCTCCCGTAAGGATATTAGATTCTCGAACTATGGAATATCAGGTTTGGAAGAGACCTCTAGGTTTATCATCTGTGTTAACCCTCAGCACAGACATCTTTAAAATAATGACATCTAATGTTAAGTAGCAGGTATGGCTGTCAAAGTGCTTCGCAAACCACAGCCAAATTCAACTCAAGGAGATTTTACTAACACAGATGGTCCCCAACTTAAGATGGTTCGGCTTAGACTATTTTGACTTTAATACAGATGGTGCAAAAGCCATGGGCATTCAGGGGAGTCGTTGAATTCTGATCTGTCCCAGGCTAGTGACATGCAGTCCGATGCCCACTGGGGTCCTGAGCAGCGAGTCTCAGCTGCCGGCCAGCCAGTGAAGCACGAGGGCAAACCACCAGCACACTTGCCACCGTTCTGAATCCAGACCACCATTCGGTTTTTCACTTTCAGTATAGTATTCAACAAATAGTATGAGATATTCAGCACATAATTATAAAACAGGCTTGTGTTAGATGATTTCGCCAAACTGTAGGCTAATGTCAATGTTCTGCGCATGTCTAAGGTCGGCCAGGCTAAGATGTTTGGTATGTTAGGTGCACTAACTGCATTTTCAATGATATTTTCAAATGCTATCAGGATATAACCCCATCATAAGTTGAGGAAGATCAGTATAGCCAAAACAGCCTTACTTTTCCACCAGCCAAGTGAACAAGTGAATTCACACTTGGATTCAGAGCATATTTCTTGAGTAATCTGAAAAGGAGGGATAAGTTAAGGCAGACTTTAGGATAACATGATAACCAACTAAACCCTTGGTTACATAAACTGATCTTCAGCTAGATCTGTGTGCTTTATTAAACAATAAATCCAAATGCAGTTTTAATCCAAATGCAATTATTCATGCTGTCATGTTGTTTGTTTCCAGGCTGTTGAAAGTGTGTGTGCCCTAGGGCAGGTTCCCACATGACCGCCTTCATCCTAACTGCACCATTCAGGCATTCTCTGTATCAGGAACTGAGGTAAACATTTTACACAGTAGATAAAGAAAGATACTATGCCCACTTTACAGATGAGAAACCTCAAGTTTAGCAATAGACAGATGGTAGCAGAGCCTCATCAGCACAGCTTGGTGTCCAACTTCACCGATGCCCAACAGTATTAACATGTGAGAGGTTAAAATTTTACTCTGGCTTGGTAATCAGTACCACTTCACCTCTCAAAATCTTAACTTTAGAGTTAAGACTTCATCTTCCATTGCCAGCCAAGAGTGTTTGGACTTATCTTGATTATTCAATTAACTTCTAACAATACTTGGAAAGGACTTGAATAAGAAAAAAACTTTTCAAAGCCTCAACTTTGGTATTTGAATTTTATAATCATTTGGAATCATTTTTCTTCCATTCAAATTTATTTCAGTTGAAAATTGTCAATAGCTGTGTTTGTACTTCTGATTTTATGATCTGTTTATTTCTAAACCTAGAAGAAACTCCCAAAAGGAAATGGAGTCTACACAGCTAATCTCTGGCCGGAGTTACTGCAGGAATTTAACAATAGAAAGGATTGCTATTCTTGCCAATTCTGTTAATTGACCTTTTTCTCCATAAAACTATTAAGTGACTTAGAAAAAAGTCTCAACTCCTTCATAATTTAAAAAAAAATCATATTACTATTTTATTAGAAATTTACTTTGAGAATAAACATTAGGTAAATTATATTTGCAGATAAAAATATTTTACAATATCCAATTTTGTGAGTTGAAAAGTGAGATGACATAGGGAAATTCAGGATATAGAAGTCAATTTTGCCAAGTAAGGTGCACTTGTACAGGCAATAAAAGTGAAAATCAGGAAAATTCAAAAGCAAGGAATCCTTAAACTAATACCTGTAAGCACTTAAAGATGACTCAGAATGAACTGATAGCCAAGATTAACACTTCTTCAACTGTACCAAGAAAAAAGGATGCACAGGAAATCAAAATATTATTTCTGATAAATCAAAGGGCCCAAATATATTGCTTTTTAATTGAGAAAACCAGTTTCTAAAGATAAAAAACCTCCCAGTGACAGATATTCATCAAACTGCATCAAGAAAGATATAGGATTACCAGTTACATTTCTAAAAACTACTGCAGATTAGTAATTTGAAAAAAAAAAGGAGACTATGTAGTTTAAACATTTTAAGAGACTTGGAATGTCAAACTAGATTGACACCTTGTAAAAATAAAGCAGAGGAACCCTGAGCCAGGAGTTAAGATTTTTACTCATATTTTTACTAAAATTCCACAGGCCACAAACTAGGTACCTGGTTCCCATTGAATTCAATGATCATCTACTAGATATTTTCTGCAAGCAATCTAAGTCATGCTGTAGACCGCCTCTTCCAGCCATCCCCGTCTTTGTCATCTTCATAAGAGCAGCAAGTTCTAAGGAAAGGTTGTGACCAGTTATCAGAGCTCTTAGAACAAAACAGTTTTCCAGGGGCTGTTAGAATGGAAAACTTTCAGTACAACCTTCACAGCTCTCTCATTTTCCAATGGCTTCTAAAGCAAAGGTTTAATCATCATTCAAAATGTGGCCTAAATGTTCACCACATGGAAGAGCAGCTTAGTGTTAGTCTTCCTGACAATCTTATTGCACTCCTATTGACTGAATTGAACAGAAGTTTTCATGTCTACAGACATGCAGGCATAAATGTTTTCATCTTCGAGTCCAACATCATTCCTGTTCCAGGGATCACTGGAGAAGAAACCAGAAGCAGCAACTATTTTACTCATTCAAACTAGAGTTTCACTGCACACATTAACTTACAATTTTGAATACATATATATATATGACAAAAGGCAGACAGGAAGGGGTAGTAGAAGGAAAACTGAGGTTGTTGAGGGCCCAATAAAAGTTGTTCTGTAGCTGTTTGAGAACTTGGCTTTGCACATCACTTTCCTAGGCCAGAGGAAAACTCCTCCTTAAAATGCTGGAACCTTTCCAAAATATCAATCACAACAGCCCCAGGGACTAATCTGGTAAGATGAGACTGAATGCATAGTAGCCCCAATAGACACAATGTATCATGGCTCAAGTAAGTCTTTCCAAATTTTAATGGTGGAGAAAAGCTGCTTTTATTTTTCTATATTCTCAAATTAAATGTATTCACTTCAAATAGTTAAAAAAAAAAAAAAACTTCTCCTAAATAATTACTGGTTGCTTCAGTTTGGAAATAGTGGGGTCATTCTGCAGAAGAACAATGGGCAAGAGGTATCATTTGCACATGATAAAATCCACACTTCTGCCAGCTTGGACAAACCCATACAGCCTTTTAACTACACCCCAAGCAAGTTATGTTCGGATCCGTCGCTAAAGGGTTAATCCCGCAGAGGATGTTAAAAGCAAAAGTCACCTGTCAACGGACTTAAAAGCACTTTTGCTCCTGAAACATCACCTCCTGCATTTGGAAATGCAACACTACACTCCAAGTGATCCTAAACCTGTCAACACACAGCGAGGGCGAGCACTCCCCCCGTTCCCCCGCAGCAAGTGGCGCCCAACACACTAATCGGCTCCTTTCTGCACTCGCACCCCCACGCCCCCACCCCGGCGTAGACACACACACACACACACACACACAGGGGAGGGGGGGGTGCAGACTTGCATCGCCAGGCTGGAGTCACGAGGAAGAAGAGTTTGATACCCCGGAATGACAAACTCCAAAGCACTGAATTTTTCTTCCTAGTAGGGCACGGAGCGTGGGTAAGATGGCCAAGGGGCGCGTGGGAAGAGAGATGACCTATTTTCAACGACCGTTTTTATAACTAGAAAGTGAGGGAGAGAAGCGGGGGGGGGGGGGGGGGGGGCTAGTCCCCAGCATCCCCGCGGGCGCCTGAGGTGTGGAGAGAGGAACACGAAAGCCACACAGCCCTCGCCCAGGCGGCGGGGTGACGACGGCAAGGAGGGAGGAGAGAGGAAGGAAGCGGGTGCGCGAGCCGGGCGCACGCAGGGCCGAGCCCACGGGCGCCAGAGGGACGGACCCCGGCCCCACCCGGTGGGCGCCGAGGGGACGGGCATTCCTGCACCTGCTGCAGCCGTCTCGGGGCGGGCGGAGCGGGGACCGGGGGATCTTGAGCGCCGGGAGGGGATGAATGCGCCCCCAGCCCCCGCCCCAGCCCCGGGCAGGGCCGGAGAGTAAAAAGGCCGTGCGGCGCACGCCGACCTCGCTGGACTCCCGGCACCCAAGGCCCGACCCGCCGGGCCCCCAGGGCGCACACCGCCTCCCGCACTCTGGGCCCACAGAGGGGCCAGCGGGGTGCGGGCCTGACCACAGGCGAGGGCCGCCGGCCCGGGCGTGGGGCGGCCGCGCAGAGCTCCGGGGCGGGCTGGCTGGTGGTGGCGGAGGGCAGCGCGAGTCGGCTCCGCGGGCCGCGCGCTGAGGAGGGGCCGCCGCCGGCACTCACCTGCCCACTTTTGCCCCTTCGCGCGGCGGCGGCGGCGCCACACTCCGCCGGGACCCACAGGCCACCTCAACCAAGCCCCAGGCGGCGGCGGTGGCAGCGGCGGCCGGACGGGAGGGGGCGGGACGGCTGCCTCAGACAGCCCCGCCGCCGCGGCCCAACCCGGCTCCGCCCGCCCCCGGGCCCCGCCCTCGAGCCGCCACCGCCGCCGCCGCCCATTGGCCCGCGATTTCGACGCAGGGGGCGCAGCTCCGCTCCACCACCCCCTGACCGTTCCGCGCCGGTTCCTCCCCAGCCATTGGACGGGCGAACTCCTGGGTCCGGAGCCGCCGGCTCGGCCCGCCAGCTTCCGTGCCATAATTGGCTAGGCTGAGCCCAGGCCCGAGCGTTGATTGGAGGACCGGCACTCCCCGCCCCCCCGGGGCCCGCCTCTCGCGCTTCAGTTCCGTTAGCAGGTTCGGTTGCTCCAGAATTCCCTTTCCCCCCCCCCCCACCCCCCAGGGGGCGGGACCGACGGGATGGGCCCTCTAGCAGGCCCCTCCTCCCTCACGCCGCGACCGTCGACTCGATGGGCGGGGCCCGGAGGAGACTGGCGGCTCTTTCCTCGTTTGAGAGCGCTACGTTCTTCTCATTGGCTGACCGGCTTTCCTCCGGTCGCTCATTTGTCCGTCACAGACGCAGCGCGATGACGTACACCCCCGACATTCCACGTCCAAGATGGCCGCAGTCGGCAAGGAGAGACGTCGCTAAGGGGCTTACCTCAGGCGAGGGGTGAGTGAGCAACGGACTTCGGACAGCGCCACTTAAGTCCTGCGTACCTGGAGGTCGGGTTAGGGTATGGCCACCAGCCTCCAGCCTCTGGTGGAGTCTCTCTTCCTGGATTCCGATTTCCTCCGCTACCCCCCGGTGCGAATCAAAGTTAGCGGGCGATGGCGGGGCTGCGGCTTCCGAGAAGCGCTCGGGGAGAGGGTCTGAGGCGCAGGAGCGGGTCAGGGAACCTGGCTCGGACTCTAGAGTAGGTAGCAACCCACGAAGTGAAAGGCGCTTATGGTTCAGGGGGGTTCTGGAAAGTGGGGAGAAAGGGCAGGGGTCTTAGGCACTCCCACACACTCAGCGATATAACCGCAGACTACCCACATCTTTCCAGTCATTTCGCAGTGTGTCAGTCCCAGCCTTGGTAAAGCCTGAGTCCTTGCGTATTGTTCCACAGCTAGGATGCTCTGACTTCGGAGTTTGAAGATCGGTGCAAAGAAGGTGGGACTAGGAATGAGGAAAACGCACTTCCGCGATTATTAATCGTTTCGTTCTTCCGTTCACGTCGCGCTTACAGACCCTCTCCAGGGTTGTTTGGTTTGTTACTGGAGGGATTGTTGTTTAAAAGTTGAGGCGTTAAGTCCAGAGGGATCTCTCAGAGCTCTCAGATTACCCGCACAAAACATGGTCGTTAATGCTCCCGAAATTTGGCCTGCCAGTTAAAACGGAGCTTTCGCTAAGTTTTCTAACATTAGGAACGACTCAGAGCATTTAGTTGAAAGGGGCCTTTTTATGTTTTTAACGTAAACTTGATGATGCTTGGGTATCTCTAATTCGCTCGTTAAAGATACCTAGCACAATGCCTTGCAATCTTAGCGCTGATTAAAGTTTGTATGATGTTGTTAGAGTGAGAGCTGCACAAAGCTTTCTATCCTCAGCATCTAAAATACTGCCGGGATACTAACCTGTCCCTATTGCTTAATGAATGCGTGAAAGTGAAAGTCGTTCAGTCGTGTCCGACTCTTTGCAACCCCCCAGACTATACAGTCCGTGGAATTCTCCAGGCCAGGATACTGGAGTGGGTAGCCTTTCCCTTCTCCAGGGAATCTTCCCAACCTCGGTATCAAACCCAGGTCTCCAACATTGCAGGCAGATTCTTTACCAGCTGAGCTACGAGGGAAGCCCAAGAATATTGGAGTGGGTAGCCTATCCCTTCTCCAGCGGATCTTCCCGACCCAGGAATCAAACCGGTGTTTCCTGCATTGCAGATGGATTCTTTACCAACTGAGCTATCAGGGAATGAATGCATGGATGATGATAATAGTGGCGATAATCATAGATATTTGATTGGTTAAGAATCTTAGTGTTCTTAGATGCCTGCTTGTTGACTGTGAATATAATAGTTATCCAAGATTCTTTTAGTTTATTTGGAATGACTACCATTGGTGTGTAATTTTAACTGTTGTCTCACTTCGATTATCTTGTGATGCATTGTTGAAAAATATTAGTTGATTCTTGCATAAAAGCATGTTAAACATTTGTTCCATTTTATGGAACTTAGTTTGCGCCAACAAGCAATAAACATTCTAATTGTTAATGAGATCGTTGTGTCTCAGGCGTCATTTCTAAAATTGAATATCACAAAGAAAAGATGGTCATAGTTTGGCCTACAAAATAAATTGCTCTTCTTGGCCTACAAAATAAATTGCTCTTTTCAGGAGATTATATTTGAAAGCAATGAGTTTGCTAGGAATAGAGAAGAAAAAATGTTTTCAGTTTTCTTTAAAACTAGGTCAAGACAAAACCAGGAAGGATTAAGGTCAAGGGAATAGAGATTATAAAGAATACTTAATTGGATTAAATCTAATTCATATTTTCAGGGTCAAATAAAAAATATGCCAAAATACTTACAGATAAGATTGTGAAATCATTGTTCATAACACTTGAGGTATCTTAAAAGTGCAGTTAATGATAGAAGACTGGAGTCTGGTAAATGTGTCAGTTTTTGCAGAGAACAGTTGAATGGCTTTGGATGCTAGAGCCAGTTGTTCAGTGCCTTAGTCATGTCCGACTCTTTTCCACTCCTTGGACTGCAGCACACAGGACAGGCTTCCCTGTCCTTCACCATCTCTTGCAGGCTGTTCCAACTCATGTCTGTTGAGTCAGTGATGCCACCCAACCATCTCATCCTCTGTCATCCCCTTCTCTTCTAGCCTTCAATCTTCCCAGCATCAGGGTATTTTCCAATGAGTCAGCTCTTCATGTGAGGTGACCGAAGTATTAGGACTTCAGCTTCAGCATCAGTCCTTCCAATGAATATTCAGGACTGATTTCCTTTAGGATGGACTGGTTGGATCTCCTTGCAGTCCAAGGGAGTCTCAAGAGTCTTCTCCAACACCACAGTTCAAAAGCATCAATTCTTTGGCTCAGCCTTCTTTATGGTCCAACATTCACATCCTTATGTGACTACTAGAAAAACCATAGCTTTGACTACATGGACCTTTCCTGGCAAAGTAATGTCTCTGCTTTTTAATACTCCATATAGGTTTCTTTCAGCTTTTCTTCCGAGGAACATCTTTTAATTTCATGGCTACGGTCACCATCTGCAGTGATTTTGGAGCCCAAGAAATTAAAGCCTGTCATTGTTTCCATTGTTTCCCCATCTATTTGTCATGAAGTGATGGGACCAAATGCCGCGATCTTTGTTTTTTAAATGCTGAGTTTTAAGCCAGCTTTTTCACTCTCCCCTTTCACCTTCATCATCAGGTTCTTTAGTTCCTCTTTGCTTTCTGCCATAAGGGTGGCATCATCTGCATATCTGAGGTTACTGATGTTTCTCCCAACAGTCTTGATTCCAACTTGTGCTTCATCCAGCCAGGCATTTTGCATGATATACTCGGCCTAGAAGTTAAATAAGCAGGGTGACAATGTACAACCTTGATGTATTCCTTTCCCAATTTGGAACCAGTCTGTTGTTCCATGTAAGATTCTAACTGTTGCTTCTTAACCTGCATACAGATTTCCAGGAGGCAGGCAAGGGGGTCTGGTATTTCCATCACTTTAAGAATTTTTCACATTTTGTTGTGATCCACTCAGTCAAAGGATTTAGCTTAGTCAGTGAAGCAGAAGTAGATGTTTTTCTGGAATTCTCTTGCTTTTTCTATGGTTCAACGGACGTTGGCAATTTGATCTCTGGTTCCTCTGCCTTTTCTAAATACAACTTGAACATCCAGAAGTTCTCGGTTCACATACTGTTGAAATCTAGCTTGAAGGATTTTGAGCATTAGTTTACTAGCATGTGAAATGAGTGCAATTGAGTGGTCGTTTGAGCATTCTTTGGCATTGCCTTTCTTTGGGATCAGAATGAAAACTGACCTTTTCCAGTCCCGTGGCCACTGCTGAGTTTTCCAAATTTGCTGGCATATTGAGTGCAGCACTTTCACAGCATCATCTTTCAGGATTTGAAAGAGCTCAGCTGGAATTCCATCACCTCCACTAGTTTTGTTCCCAGTGATGCTTCCTAAGGCCCACCTGACTTCGCATTCCAGGATGTCTGGCTCTAAGTGAGTGATCACACCATCGTGGTTATCTGGGTCATGAAGATCTCTTTTGTATAGTTCTTCTGTGTATTCTTGCCACCTCTTCTTAATTACTTTCTGCTTCTGTTAGGTCCATATTGTTTCTGTCCTTTATTCTGTCCATCTTTGCATGAAATGTTCACTTGGTATCTCTAATTTACTTGAAGAGATCTCTAGTCTTTCCCATTCTATTGCTTTCCTCTATGTTTTCGCATTGATTACTTAGGAAGGCTTTCTTAACTCTCCTTGTTCTTTTGAACTCTGCATTCAGATGGGTATATCTTTCTTTTTCTCCTTTGCCTTTCGCTTCTCTTCTTTTCTCAGCTATTTGTAAGGCCTCCTCAGACAACCATTTTGCATTTCTTTTTCTTGGGGATGGTTTTGATCACCGCCTCCTGTACAATGTTACAAACCTCCATCCATAGTTCTTCAGGCACTCTATCAGATCTAATCCCTTGAATTTATTTGTCACTTCCACTATGTAATCATGGGACTTAATTTAGGTCATACCAGAATGGTCTGATGGTTTTCCCTACTTTCTTCAATTTAAGTCTGAATTTGGCAATAAGGAGTTCATGATCTGAGCAACAGTCAGCTCCTGGTCTTGTTTTTGCTGTGTAGAGCTTCTCCACCTTTAGCTGCAAAGAATATAATCAATCTGATCTCAGTATTGACCATCTGGTGATATCCATGTGTAGACTCTTCTCGTGTTGTTGGCAGAGGGTTTTTGCTATGACCAGTGCGTTTTCTTGGCAAAACTCTGTTAGCCTTTGCCCTGCTTCATTTTGTACTTCAAGGCCAAACTTGCCTGTTACTCCAGGTATCTCTCGACTTCCTACTTTTGCATTCTGGTCTCCTATGATGAAAAGGATATCTTTTTTTGGTGTTAGTTCTAGAAGGTCTTGTAGGTCTTCGTTGAACTGTTCAAATTCTGCTTCTTTGGCATTAGTGGTTGGGGCATAAACTTGGATTGCTGTGATACTGAATGGTTTACCTTGGAAACGAACAGAGATCATTCTGTTGTTTTTGAAATGGCACCCAAATACTGCATTTCAGACTCTCTTGTTGACTGTGAGAGTTAGTCCATTTCTTCTAAGGGATTCTTGCCCACAGTAGTCAATATAATGGTCATCTGAATTAAATTTGCCCGTTCCGGTCCATTTTAGTTCACTGACTCCTAAAATGTTGATGTTCACTCTTGCCATCTCCTGTTTGACCACTTCCAATTTACCTTGATTCATGGACTTAACATTCCAGGTTCCTATGCAGTACTGTTCTTTACAGCATCAGACTTGACTTTCATCAGCAGACGTACCCACAGCTGGGCGCTGTTCCACTCTGGCTCAGCCTCTTCATTCCTTCTGGAGCTGTTGCTTTGCTCTTCTCCAGTAGCATGTTGGGCACGTACTGACCTGAGGAATTCATCTGTCAGTGAATTTT